CTCCACCGCCAGTCTCCCAGCCAGCACCATCAGCCAGCCATGAGCAGCCAAGACCCGTCAGCCAGCCAATGAGCAGCCAGATCCGTCAGCCAGCCATGAGCAGCCAGACCCGTCAGCCAGCCATGAGCAGCCGATCCGTCAGCACAGCCATGAGCAGCCAGATCCGTCAGCCAGCCATGAGCAGCCAGACCGTCAGCCAGCCATGGCAGCCAGACCGTCAGCCAGCAATGAGCAGCCAGATCCGTCAGCCCATGCCATGAGCAGCCAGATCCGTCAGCCAGCCATGAGCGCCAGATCCGTCAGCCAGCCATGAGCAGCCAGTCCGTCAGCCAGCCATGAGCAGCCAGATCCGTCAGCCAGCCATGAGCAGCCAGATCCGTCAGCCAGCCATGAGCAGCCAGACCCGTCAGCCAAGCCTGAGCAGCCAGATCCGTCAGCCAGCCATTGAGCAGCCAGATCCGTCACCGACCCGGGGGCCAAAATCCTCAAGCCAGACACCCAACCCCTCAGCCACCATGAGCAGCCGATCCCTCAGCCCCATGAGCACCAGATCCGTCAGCCCGCCATGAGCACCAATCCGTCAGCCAGCCAGAGCACCAATCCGGCAGCCACCTGAGCAGCCAACCGTCAGAGCCCCTGACAGCCAGATCCCTCAGCCAGCCTGAGCAGCAGGATCCCAGAGCCGTCCAGCCAGGATCCCAGAGCCCCCAGCTGGATCCGCGGCCGTCCCGCCGGGGTCCCCCAAACCCTCCCCCCGGGATCCGCCAGGCTCCAGCCTGGACCGCCAAGCCGTCCCGCCAGGACGCCCGAGCCTCCACCGGATCCGCCAAGCCGTCCCGCCCGGATCCCAAGCCCTTGCCAGGATCCCCCGGCCGTCCCCCAGGGCCCCCAGACCGTCCCGCCCGGGTCCCCGAGCCGTCCCGCCCGGAGCCGCCCGAGCGTTTTTACCCGGGGTCCCCAAGCCGTCCAAGGGTCCGCCATAGCCGTCCAGCCAGGATCCGCCTTACCGTCCCCGCAGGAATCCGCCAAATCCGTCCCGCCAGGATCCTCCAGAGCCGTCCCTCCAGGATCCGCCGAAATCCGTCCGCCAGGAGTCGCCATAGCCGTCCCGCAATCCGCCAGAGCCACCAGCCAGATCCCGCCATCTAATCAGGTGATGCCCCTTAGCCCGGGCTGCCCCTTAGCCGGTGCTGCCCTTTATCCCGGTGCGCCCCTGAGTCCGTGCCGCCCTTACCCGGTGCCGCCCCTTACCCGGTGCTGCCCGTAGTCCCGGTACGCCCCTGAGTCCTGTACTGCCCTTTATTCCGGGTAACTTCCCCGTAGTCCCGGTGTCAGCCCCTTAGTCCGTTGCTGTCCCTTAGCGCCGTTGCTGCCCCTTATCCCGGTGCTGCCCTTACCCGGTGCTGCCCCGTATTCCGGGAACTGCCCCTTAGTCCGGGTGCTGCTCCTTAGTCCAGGTGCTTGCTGCCACATTTAGCCCGGTGCTGCCCCTTAGTCCGGTGCTGCCCCTGAGTCCGGTGCGCCCCCTTAGCCCGGTGCTGCCCCGTAGTCCGGTACTGCCCCTTAGTCCTGTACTGCCCTTTAGTCCGGTACTGCCCCGTAGTCCGGTGCAGCCCCTTAGTCCGGTGCTGTCCCTTAGCCCGGTGCTGCCCCTTATCCCGGTGCTGCCCCTTATCCCGGTGCTGCCCCTTAGGCCGATGCTGCCCCTTAGTCCGGTGTTGCCCCTTAGTCCAGGTGGGGTTAGTTGGAGGGTGGTCATTGGGGGGAGGCTACCGAAGCAGGTTGTGACTGTGGTGGGGTGGGGATTACGACCGGGGCCAGAGCCGCCACCATGGAGACGCCCACCCAGACCCTCCCCTAGTCCTGATGTTGGTGCGCCCGGAGTTCGCACCTTTAGGGGGGGGGTACTGTGACACTCTGGCTCTATGGACTTTGAGAATTGAGCCAGGGTTGTTCATTTTCATGTGTTCGGGTGTATTTCATTTGGTGGTGTTGGGGATGGGTGAGTTTCATTTTGTTTGTGTCTAGTTGTGATTGGTTAATGACTCCCAATCGGAGGTAACGAGTCTCAGCTGTCGGCTCGTTATCTCTGATTGGGAGCCATATATATTCTGTGTGTTTTCACCTTTGTTTTGTGGGTTATTGTTTCTGTGTTGCTGTTAGTGTGTTTTAGTATAGAACTTCACGTATCGTCTTTTGTTGTTTTTCGTGGTTTCTTTGGATTAATAAAGTCATCATGTTCACTCGCAACGCTGCGCATTGGTCCAATCCTTCAGACGATCGTGACAGACCAGCCTGTTAGTTCTGTTTCGGCTCAACCCTACCCATCCCACCCCCACCCCTTACCACCCCCAGAACCCTTTACCCCATCTACATTTCTTAAGCTCTTCACACAGTATGAATGAGATCCCCAGCTTTGTAAAGGCCTTGATCCTGTACTATCATGACTAGCCACACTACAAGAATGATGACTCCAGAAAGTCTCATCTCAGGTGACCAATCGTGGAGCAGGAAGGAGACTTCTCTTTCAGCCCAGTGTTGACAATGACATAATCAGCTTATCCCTGCCACCATTAAGCTTCTTGAGGCATAGTGAGTGAGCCCTTGACTCTTTCAATGCTACGGTTAAAAGCTCAAAGTGAAGGATTATTTCTCTTTTATGTGTTACGTAAATGCAAGGTCAGAGGATTTAAGGATTATCAAAATGAGGCTTAGAGGAACCAGGGGGGACTCTTCTCCTTTGGGCATATCAAAGGAAACAGGTGGACATTAAGGGGCTCATGTGAAATGAAGTCAATTTTGTGTTTTTTGTTTAAATATTCACTGGGGAAACCACAACCAATGCTGCAGTCAACTCAGCTGTGTTTACCAGCTTAATAAAGACTATTGGACAGTATAGTTGGCCTTCTCTAATATCACTCCACTCCATCAATGTCTGAAGTTAAAAAACTTGAGATGAAGAAGAGAGGCCATCAGGACTGAGAGGGTGATAAAGAAGGACTGAGAGAGTGACTAAAGAAACACTGAGAGGGTGACTAAAGAAACTCTGAGAGGGTGACTAAAGAAGGACTGAGAGGGTGACTAAAGAAGGGCTGAGAGGGTGACTAAAGAAGGACTGAGAGGGTGACTAAAGAAGGACTGAGAGGGTGACTAAAGAAGGACTGAGAGGGTGACTAAAGAAGGACTGAGAGGGTGACTAAAGAAGGGCTGAGAGGGTGACTAAAGAAGGACTGAGAGGGTGACTAAAGAAGGACTGAGAGGGTGACTAAAGAAGGGCTGAGAGGGTGACTAAAGAAGGACTGAGAGGGTGACTAAAGAAGGACTGAGAGGGTGACTAAAGAAGGGCTGAGAGGGTAACTAAAGAAGGGCTGAGAGGGTGACTAAAGAAGGGCTGAGAGGGTGACTAAAGAAGGGCTGAGAGGGTGACTAAAGAAGGGCTGAGAGGGTGACTAAAGAAGGACTGAGAGGGTGACTAAAGAAGGGCTGAGAGGGTGACTAAAGAAGGGCTGAGAGGGTAACTAAAGAAGGGCTGAGAGGGTGACTAAAGAAGGGCTGAGAGGGTGACTAAAGAAGGGCTGAGAGGGTGACTAAAGAAGGACTGAGAGGGTGACTAAAGAAGGGCTGAGAGGGTGACTAAAGAAGGGCTGAGAGGGTGACTAAAGAAGGGCTGAGAGGGTGACTAAAGAAGGGCTGAGAGGGTGACTAAAGAAGGACTGAGAGGGTGACTAAAGAAGGGCTGAGAGGGTGACTAAGAAGGGCTGAGAGGGTAACTAAAGAAGGACTGAGAGGGTGACTAAAGAAGGGCTGAGAGGGTGACTAAAGAAGGGCTGAGAGGGTAACTAAAGAAGGACTGAGAGGGTGACTAAAGAAGGGCTGAGAGGGTAACTAAAGAAGGACTGAGAGGGTGACTAAAGAAGGAAGACGGGATGAGAAAAACATCTTTCTATCATCTCCTGTTTTTTCCCTATCTCAGTCAGATAGCACTCCTTCAGACATACACTCGCTCAGTCCATCCTCCTCACTAACTCTTTTAAGAGCGGTGTGCTTGCCAAATCCCTCCCCCAGACCCTGTTTCATTGCTGACAGATTCAATTTCCTAAAATAAATACTGCAGAGGTCGCCATGGAAATCATTCCTTTAAGGCCCACTCTCTCAACCCCCCCAGTTGCATTACACTGGGTACTCTGGGTACCGATCCCTCTCATTGCCAGGAATGTAGAGGTGGCCACCTCATCCTTTTTTAGCAAAGATCACATTTTAACGTTAACATTTTCAAGTTGAGTCTAGGGCAAGGATGATGGATGGATGGTACACACATCAACATTACAAAGAGGTTAGGTGCCGTGTTTACAACTGCAATTTTCTTGGGGGGGAAAAGTGTAGAAACTGACCTTGTATCAGCTCTAACTGGCACATAGCACTGCGTAGAGAGGAGCATTAGCTAGCTGCCATAGTTACAGCAGAGGCCTCCATAATGTTTCAGGTTAACACCTTAAAGTGCATGCTGTTGTGTGCATGTGAGTAGTACACACGTTTCTACAACCGGAATGTTGTACATTATCACCTCCTTAAAACACACCTTGTGTGCAGTGGGCATATATTTTATTACATAACAAATAATTTAGTTGCCACCTTTCGCTCTCACTGTCATTATAAAAGGAAGTCTGCACTAACCTATGCTGGTGAGGTGTGTGTGTCTGTGTGTGTGTGTGGGTCTGTGTTTGTAGGGGGAGGGGGAGGGGGGAGGGGTGGGGGGTGATCATGAAGAAGACCAGTATATAGTACACAGAGTAAACCATGGAGGGGTAGCAGTCTTTTTTTGAGAGGGCCGTCAGTGGGGGTGGGGAGGATGTTTGGGGAGGCCTGAGGGATTAAAGAGAAACCCCTTCCTTTCCCCCTTACTTTCCCTTCCCCACCCCGCACCCCCCTTTGCCCGCTGGACCGGTCAATGGAGTGCCTCTCTGGCCACCACTGTCTGGGTTCTCCCCCCTCCCTCACATGATGGAGCAGCCCTTGGCCTTATCCTTGCCGAAGGTGGAGGAGAGGAGGTCAGACTTGCCGGGCAGAAAGAGGAGTCTCTTTGAGAGGCGGCGGGCGGGGCTGGGCTTGGTGGAGGGCTGCAGCTTGTTGATGCAGGCCAGGGCTGCAGTACGGAACACACTGTGGATGCTCTTCTCTGAGGTGAAAGCTGAACACTCCAGGTAGGACTCCGCACCTAGCTGCTTGGCCATGGAGGACCCCTGCAACACGATGGGGAAGAACAGGAGTGAGATGGAGAGAGAGAGCGAGAGCGAGAGCGAGAGCGAGAGAGAGAGAGAGAGAGAGAGAGAGAGAGAGAGAGAGAGAGAGAGAGAGAGAAAGAGAAAGAGAAAGAGAAAGAGAAAGAGAAAGAGAAAGAGAGAGACAGACTCACTTGCTCATGTGAGATGGGTGTCTGCTTCTGATTTGACAGCTCCATAAGCGTGCACACGTCCGTGCGCAGGTCTGTTTTACAGCCTATCAGGAGGATGCGTGTGCTGGGGCAGAAATCCAGGATCTCTGTCTTCCACTGCAACGAAAAGGACATATGACTGTCATAAGGTTGTTATAATGTATCATAACCCCAGCTGTAATGTGCATGGTGCACAGAGAGAATGATCATGATGATTGTGATGATGACAAGGATGAGGAGGAAGAAGAAATTGACAACAGCAATGATGTTGATGATGATGATGATCACAATGACAAGGTCCTTACCTTTTTCAGTGCACCGTCAAATGAGTCTGGGCGGCTGATGTCGAAACAGAGGAGCACAGCGTCTGAGTCGCTGTAGCACAGGGGTCTGACATTATCGTAGTATGGAGAGCCTGTAGGGTCAAACAGATCGGCTGGGGTCAGTCACAGGGTTTTCAATAGGACAGTACCAAATGAATGAGACTCCATTAGTTGCAATAAGAATGATTTGTACCAGAACAGTATAAAGACTAGTGATGGGAGAAGAAAGATACAGTTATTGGGATATTATTTTTGACGAAATATCGTATTGTTTTTACAATATTGCAATATTATTTTTACGCTAGTTTGTTGTACCTGTACCAAAACAAGAGAGCCAATTTGTTTTCAGCACTTTCCGTGACTGATCAAAACTTGTTTTCTCATGGCTCTCTTGTCCCTCTGCAGCAGACATATGATGAGCAATGTGTTTGGAACATCGAATCGCAATAAAATCACAGTATCGAATAGCAATACATATAGAATCGTGACAATCACAATACGTTTTTTATTTATTTTATTTCACCTTTATTTAACCAGGTAAGCCAGTTGAGAACAAGTTCTCATTTACAACTGCGACCTGGCCAAGATAAAGCAAAGCAGTGCGATAAAAACAACAACAACACAGAGTTACACATGGGATAAAACAAAACATACAGTCAATAACACAATAGAAAATCTATATACAGTGTGTGCAAATGTAGTAAGTTATGGAGGTAAGGCAATAAATAGGCCATAATGCAAAATAATTTCAATTTAGTATTAACACTGGAGTGATAGATGTGCAGAAGAAGATGTGCAAATAGAGACACTGGGGTGCAAATTAGCAAAATAAATAACAATATGGGGATGAAGTAGTTGGGTGGGCTAATTACAGATGGGCTGTGTACAGGTGCAGTGATCGGTAAGCTGCTCTGACAACTGATGCTTAAAGTTAGTGAGGGAGATAAGAGTCTCCAGCTTCAGAGATTTTTGCAGTTCGTTCCAGTCATTAGCAGCAGAGAACTGGAAGGAATGGCGGCCAAAGGAGGTGTTGGCTTTGGGGATGACCAGTGAGATATACCTGCTGGAGCGCATACTACGGGTGGGTGTTGCTATGGTGACCAATGAGCTAAGATAAGGCAGGGATTTGCCTAGCAGTGATTTATAGATGACCTGGAGCCAGTGGGTTTGGCGACGAATATGTAGTGAGGGCCAGCCAACGAGAGCGTACCGGTCATCTATAAATCACTGCTAGGCAAATGGTGGGTAGTATATGGGGCTTTGGTGACAAAACGGATGGCACTGTGATAGACTACATCCAATTTGCTGAGTAGAGTGTTGGAGGCTATTTTGTAAATGACATCGACGAAGTCAAGGATCGGTAGGATAGTCAGTTTTACGAGGGCATGTTTGGCAGCATGAGTGAAGGAGGCGTTGTTGCGAAATAGGAAGCCGATTCTAGATTTAACTTTGGATTGGAGATGCTTAATGTGAGTCTGGAAGGAGAGTTTACGGTCTAACCAGACACCTAGGTATTTGTAGTTGTCCACATATTCTAAGTCAGACCCGCCGAGAGTAGTGATTCTAGTCGGGCAGGCGGGTGCAAGCAGCGGGTGCAAGCAGCGGGTGCAAGCAGCGGGTGCAAGCAGCGTTTGATAAAAAAATAAAATATAAATATAAATAAAATGTATGGATAAGAGCGTCTGCTAAATGACTAAAATCTAAAATCTAAGAGCATGCATTTAGTTTTACTAGCGTTTAAGAGCAGTTGGAGGCTACGGAAGGAGTGTTGTATGGCATTGAAGCTCATTTGGAGGTTTGTTAACACAGTGTCCAATGAAGGGCCAGATGTATACAAAATGCGTAGAGGTGGATCTGAGAGTCACCAGCAGCAAGAGTGACATCATTGATATACACAGAGAATAGAGTCGGCCCGAGAATTGAACCCTGTGGCACCCCCATAGAGACTGCCAGAGGTCCAGACAACAGGCCCTCCGATTTGACACATTGAACTCTATCTGAGAAGTAGTTGGTGAACCAGGTGAGGCAGTCATTTGCGAAACCAAGGCTATTTAGTCTGCTAATAAGAATGCGGTGATTGACAGAGTCGAAAGCCTTGGCCAGGTCGATGAAGACGGCTGCACAATACTGTCTTTTATCGATCGCGGTTATAATATCGTTTAGGACCTTTAGCGTGGCTGAGGTGCACCCATGACCAGCTCAGAAACCAGATTGCATAGCGGAGAAGGTACGGTGGGATTCGAAATGGACGGTGATCTGTTTGTTAACTTGGCTTTCAAATACTTTTGAAAGGCATGGCAGGATGGATATAGGTCTGTAACAGTTTGGATCTAGAGTGTCACCCCCTTTGAAGAGGGGGATGACCGCGGCAGCTTTCCAATCTCTGGGGATCTCAGATGATACGAAAGAGGTTGAACAGGCTAGTAATAGGGGTTGCTACAATTTTGGCAACTAATTTTAGAAAGAAAGGGTCAGATTGTCTAGCCCAGGGCATGGACAAGTTGCAGCGGGGGGGGGGGCAGAGCTGGTGGCCGGGGTAGGGGTAGCCAGGTGGAAAGCATGGCCAGCCGTAGCAAAATGCTTACTGAAATTCTCGATTATCGTAGATTTATCGGTGGTGACAGTGTTTCCTAGCCTCAGTGCAGTGGGCAGCTGGGAGGAGGTGCTCTTATTCTTAGGTGCCGGATACGTATTGTATCCGGCACCTAAGTATGGTGATAATATCGTATTGTGAGGTCCCTGGCAATTCCCATCCCTACTAAAGACCAAGAACGAGGAGTGTTAGGTGCTTGGTGTATTGTAGGGTTGGGTGCTTGAATGCTATAGTAAAGGCCAGGGCTGTGTGCATGGATGCTATAGGCTAAGGTTGGCTGCTGGGTGCTGCCAGACAAAGATGCTTGAGCACTGCTCTCAGACTGTTAGCACAAGTCTGTCCCCCACACAGCACAGGACACCACCCACTCCCCCCTGGTAACTACGGCAACAGCCTTGGTAGACAATGCTTGAATCCAACACTCTATTATACCCCCCCTGTACCCGAACCATTCTCCGCACACACACACACGCTCCAATTTTCTTCCTCCCTCACCCTCCGATCTACAGTAAATAATTTCACTAAAGCCCCACGCCTTCCCACTCAGTAGAATAACTCTCCAATAAATCAAATTAACACACAAACAGACAAACACACACACACGAACACAGAAAGAGTAAGAGAGAGCCACAGTACACAATAACTCTATCCCTATCACACTCCTGCGTTACCCAAAGGGTTTATATTGGACTCCTGTTTGTGCAGAAATCCCACTTGAAATGAGATAGAAGAAAACAAAGATCTCTGTATCAGGGGAGACTCTTTCATAGATTGTTGTGTTTAGAGTGTGTTCTACAGTTGAAGTCAGAAGTTTACATACACCTTAGCCAAATACATTTAAACTCAGTTTTTCACAATTCCTGACATTTAATCCTAGTAAAAAGTCCCTGTCTTAGGTCAGTTAGGACCACTACTTTATTTTAAGAATGTGAAATGTCAGAATAATAGTAGAGAGAATGATTTCTTTCAGCTTTTATTTCTTTCATCACATTCCCAGTGGGTCAGAAGTTTACATACACTCAATTAGTATTTGGTAGCATTGCCTTTAAATTGTTGGGGTAGCCTTCCACAAGCTTCCCACAATAAGTTGGGTGAATTTTGGCCCATTCATCCTGACAGAGCTGGTGTTACTGAGTCAGGTCTGTAGGCCTCCTTGCTCGCAAACGCTTTTTCAGTTCTGCCCACACATTTTCTATAGGATTGAGGTCAGGGCTTTGTGATAGCCACTCCAATACCTTGACTTTGTTGTCCTTAAGCCATTTTGCCACAACTTTGGAAGTATGCTTGGGGTCATTGTCCATTTGGAAGACCCATTTGCGACTAAGCTTTAACTTCCTGACTGATGTCTTGAGATGTTGCTTCAATATATCCACATCATTTTCCTTCCTCATGATGCCATCTATTTTGTGAAGCGCACCAGTCCCTCCTGCAGCAAAGCACCCCCACAGCATGATGCTGCCACCCCCGTGCTTCACGGTTGGGATGGTGTTCTTCGGCTTGCAAGCAACCCCCTTTTTCCTCCAAACATAACAATGGTCATTATGGCCAAACAGTTTTATTTTTGTTTCATTAGACCAGAGGACATTTCTCCAAAAATTATGATCTTTGTCCCCATGTGCAGTTGCAAACCGTAGTCTGGCTTTTTTATGGCGGTTTTGGAGCAGTGGCTTCTTCCTTGCTGAGCGGCCATTCAGGTTATGTCGATATAGGACTTGTTTTACTGTGGATATAGATACTTTTGTACCTGTTTCCTCCAGCATCTTCACAAGGTCCTTTGCTGTTGTTCTGGGATTGATTTGCACTTTTCGCACCAAAGTACGTTCATCTCTAGGAGACAGAACGCGTCTCCTTCCTGAGCGGTATGACGGCTGCGTGGTCCCATGGTGTTTATACTTGCGTACTATTGTTTGTACAGATCAACGTGGTACCTTCAGGCGTTTGGAAATTGCTCCCAAGGATGAACCAGACTTGTGGAGGTCTACAATTTTTTTTTTGAGGTCTTGGCTGATTTCTTTTCATTTTCCCATGATGTCAAGCAAAGAGGCACTGAGTTTGAAGGTAGGCCTTGAAATACATCCACAGGTACACCTCCAATTGACTCAAATGATGTCAATTAGCCTATCAGAAGCTTCTAAAGCCATGACATCATTTTCTGGAATTTGCCAAACTTTTTAAAGGCACAGTCAACTTAGTGTATGGAAACTTTTGACCCACTGGAATTGTGATACAGTGAATTATAAGTGAAATAATCTGTCTGTAAACAATTGTTGGAAAAATTACTTGTGTCATGCACAAAGTAGATGTCCTAACCGACTTGTCAAAACTATAGTTTGTTAACAAGAAATTTGTGGAGTGGTTGAAAAATGAGTTTTAATGACTCCAACCTAAGTGTATATGTAAACTTCCGACTTCAACTGTATATGATGCAACACACTAACATGATGCATAACACATAGTGTATGTATGTACAATGTCGACACCTAAACTAAAAAGTAAATGATTCTTATGTTATAAATTGAAGACAATTGCTAAGAAAATCTGTGTGTGCGCGTTGTGTGTGTGCGTATATGCTTGCGGGCCTATGCATCAAAGTGTAAAAGTATGTTAGTATGTTAGTGTTGTAAAGGGAGGTCCCTGTGCTAAAAATAGACGCTGACTGAATGTCCGTCCTCTGTTGTGTTCCGTCATCACTTACCACACCAGCAACAGATTCAATTTCCTCTCCCTGCTTCTCAACCTACTCCGGAAACGTATTAAACATGAACTAAACCAGGTAATAATGAATTAAGAAAAGCTTCATCTGTGGATGTATGACCTACTTATGCCTCTATGGGTAGTGTGAAATGCATTTGGATGATATAGGATTCCCTCCTGCTACTGTAGGCGTGACACTGTTGTCAGATCCAATCCATTATTAAAAACCTAACAAACATTCTCTTGTGAGGGAGACAATTGTCTGACATTCACAGGGAACGACTGTATAAACAGTGTGTAAAGGCAAGAGATGAGGCAACTGAATGGTAGCGATTGGACTTGTTTTTCCCGTAGGAGACAATGCCGGCATTGGCAGAGAGGAGCCTAGAGTGATGCAATGCTGGGGAAACAGACATGATGATGGCTCTGAGCCCTGGAGCTGAGAGAGGATACAAGCCCTGATACATCCCCCACACACACCTCCCTTCCCTGGATACACCTCACACACACATACCACCCTTCCCTGGATACACCTCCCACACTCACCTCCCTTTCCTGGATACACCTCCCACACACACCTCCCTTCCCTGGATACACCTCCCACACACACCTCCCTTCCCTGGATACACCTCCCACACACACCTCCCTTCACTGGATACACCTCCCACAAACACCTCCCTTCCCTGGATACACCTCCCACACACACCTCCCTTCCCTGGATACACCTCCCACACACACCTCCCTTCCCTGGATACACCTCCCACAAACACCTCCCTTCCCTGGATACACCTCCCACAAACACCTCCCTTCCCTGGATACACCACCCACAAACACCTCCCTTCCCTGGATACACCTCCCACAAACACCTCCCTTCCCTGGATACACCAGCCACACACACCTCCCTTCCCTGGATACACCTCCCACACACACCTCCCTTCCCTGGATACACCTCCCACTCACACAAAACTGGGAGAAGGAGGACTCTAAAACCTAATGATAAACTGTTTGCTTGTTGTAGGAGGCTGGAGAGGCAGAGGAAAAGTGAACTAAAGGAGCATCTCACTTTGAGTCTGATCACTGTGAGAGAGACGGTGAGAACAGGCAGCCGCAGAGCTTGATAATGAACTCAGAGAGGAGCGGCAGGGGGAATTGTTAGGCACAGCAACGCTGTTACACAACACAACACAAAACAACACAGCCCACTCCACAGAAAAGCACAGACAGCAGCCTGACCCTAAGGGAACCTCTGCCTCTCTTCACAAACCCTCAGCCAAGGAAAATAAAGACAAAACATGAGAATAAGAGCAATCGCAGAGAAAATAATTATATGGCCGTTCATGGATTTATCATCAACAGCAAGGCCTTCTCTCTCTCTCCCCACAGACCATCAGTAAACATGATAATAGCGATATATGTATAATCACCAACTTTATTGATAGGACAATCAGAGAAAACCATGATATGGCCATGAACGACAAGAGCACTGCCAGGATAGGATGTTAGAGATAGATACAGAGCTCAGATAGATAGAAGCGACTAGACTCTTTTGTGGAAAAATTTAAGGTGGGAAGAGCTGGGTAGAGCTTTAAAACAAGGTGGGAAAATATAAATGGTCATTATGTAATAGGACTTTCACTATGGAGTGGACGAGCGTCCAGCTTGGTCCATCTCTTTTGAAGATAAACAGACAAAGCGACAGAAATAAATCCTGTGGTGTTTTCTGTTATATACGGCTTTTTGGCCCGTATATAACTCTTCCCACTGGGCACAGACGTCAATTCAACGTCTATTTCTAATTGGTTCAATATAATTTCATTGAAATGATGTGGAAACAACATTGATTCAAACAATGTGTGCCCAGTAGGTTGAGGCTTTGAGGGGAGGTCAGGGATATATTTAGCTCTCTCTCATATGTGCCTTCTATTCTCTGAAACATGCACACACGCGCACACACACACACACACACACACACACACACACACACACACACACACACACACACACACACACACACACACACACACACACACACACACACGCTTCCCACCACTCATGCATAGGCAACCCCCTGGCCATGAAACCACCCCTCTGCAGGCCAACTGCCCCAAAGGAACTCCCTGGAGCCCAATCAGAAAGCCCCATGATAGAGGTTAATCATAGCAGCCCAACCACATGTAACTGGTTGTGTTCTGTTGATTATGTTTACTAGTTTCAAGATGTAGAAGGGTCCTACCGTGTCAGTAGGTCACCACAACACTGTGTGTGTGTGTGTGTGTGTGTGTGTGTGTGTGTGTAATCGCGCGCTATAGCTGTCATATTTTGATGTAGAGCTGATAAGTTATTAGACATTCCTCTAGTAAGGGGGTAGATGGGGAGAGGGGGATATCTATGTCTCCTGAGAATGAGATCACTGTAGTGTCAAATGAATTAGCCCTACATCATTCTATGCCTTCTAAACATAAATCAAAGGGAGAGGAGACCGAAACAGAGAACAAGCACACAAATGGTCATTTGCATTCAAATGTTGTGTCACCTCTGTCTGAGAAAAAGGCCTTCCTCCACTCTAACTTATCAGACCTCAGTAGCCTACCACAGCACTACCTGTGATAAGCAGCAGGACAACAGTACTGTATAAAAGATTCAACAGATCGCTATCTTAAAGGAAAACAATAATAAACAACTAACCATACAGTATACACTATGATGCTAAATAAGACAGTGAGACAATGGTCAATGGGCCTTTAGTTAGCCTACTGTTGTTTACGCAAAATCTCTGATTGCATTGTTTTCCGGGCGGGTGGGTAAGGAAATGGTCAACTGGAAAGCAAATGCGAGTCAGGTTTTACAGTACAATTACTCTGAAAACTTGAATGTTAAGTCAAATTTCAAATGGCATGCCTTTGGACTCTTGGTTGGTCAAGAGAGAAAGGAATTTCATTTCACGCATTATAAATCTTTTCCACTATATCTACAGGTAGAGCACCTTGTATAGAGAGACATGACATATTATATAACCTTTGTTATAAGACATTATAAAGGCTTATACCTGGATATGCTTAAATAGCTGCTTAAATAACTATAAGGTATACTGGATGTATGCATGGGGAGTGCAGAGTGTAACGCTCACCTGATGTGTCCCAGAGACTGAGCTCCACTCGCTGGTCCTCCAGCTCCAGACATGCTGTATAGTTCTCAAATACTGTTGGAACATATGTCTGTGGATAAGGAAAGGAACGGGTTCATTAGCTATGTATTATAATACAGTCAGTCATTGTGAAATAGTGACCCCAGTAATCATTAGCTGTATTAGATTTACATATAATGATCATCCTAGTTTGAGGCTACTGTGCTGTCTGTCTGACCAAATAAGGCATCTGAACAGTTTTACCATTTAGAAAGGAAAGCACTTTATACATCTAGTCCGCTCATTGTATTTGGACCAATTCATTTCTATGTGTATTAAAGTAGTCTAAAGTGTAGTATTTGGTCCCATATGCCTAGCACTACATGAAGCGTGTGACTCTACAAACTTGTTGGATGCATTTGCAGTTTGTTTTGGTTGTGTTTCAGATTATGTTGTTCCTAACTGAAATGAATGGTAATTACATAATGTATTGTGTCATTTTGGAGTCACTTTTACTGTAAATAAGAATAGAATATGTTTCTGAACACTTCTACATTAATGTGGATGCTACCATTATTAAGAATAATCATGAATGAATCGTGAATAATGAAAGCACTCCATTTGAAATGAATCTCAACATTCAAGTTCTCAGAGGAATTGTACTGACTTTCCTTTCCAGTTTACTTTAGTCTATCTTTCATCACACGCCCCGAAAACAATGCAATATTAAACTTCTATTTGTTATCATAGAATTAGAATGACATTTCTATGGCTATTATCATCTCTTTATAGCCTATGTATGTAACCTATTCCAGAATGCATTTAGGATATGGGTGTTATAATCCAGTCAAATGTGCCAGGTGTAGAAATTGCATACCTCAGGATAGGAATCCTTGGCCAGGACTTGCAACATTGCCGTTTTTCCGCATTGAACATCCCCAACCAAAACCAGTTTACATCTCGCCACCAGAGGCTGGGTAAGTCTCCTTTCCTTCATTGTGAATACGATTTGGTTGGCAACACAATAAATTGATATGCGAAAGAAAAAAACGTGTAAATCCTCTGTCAGTTATCAGTGCGTTACTCCGGGATGCTGCTCTCCTGCGATGAAGCTTGCTGCCAGCCGTATGAGCGGAATTATGACACTGCTGAACTTTATATTGTCACGCCAGCCAATGGAAATGAGCGTTCTGCTCATTGTTGCGCACCATGCGCTTCCGCTATACAAGATCGAGGTTGGTAGTCAGTCAACTTTGTTCTAAAGTACAAAATTGCCCATAGTCTATCCCTGTCTAGTGCATGATACATTTTGTGCCCCATTAGAGAAGAGGGAGAAATGGCTATATGTTATTTTGGTTTCTAATGTTTGTCATCATGCATTAGCCTGAACGATCACAACAGCAATGATAGAATTAGCCTATTTATTTGAATTCTACTTATGGCTACATTTAATGCATTAATCCTTAGAATGTCACAGTAATCTCAGTCAATGCCTACTAGGTCAATTAAATGTTTGCGCTCTCTCTCTTTCTCTCTCTCTCTCTCTCTCTCTCTCTCTCTTGATCGACCTGTTGGACAGATGCAGTGAGCAAGCGCCAAATTGGAGTGCATGTTATAGCATCGTGGTGTTGCATAACAGATATCAAACAGTTTATAGCCATAACAGTTTCGATTTATTTGGTTGTTTTTATCATAACGTAAAAATAGAAGCACTGGCCTATATCAGAGCAAAATAGATTGAAATAGGCTTTGATTTTTTATATATATACACTACCAGTCAAAAGTTTGGACACACCTACTCATTCAAGTGTTTTTCTTTATTTTTACTATTTTCTATCAATCAATCAATCAATTTTATTTTATATAGCCCTTCTTACATCAGCTAATATCTCGAAGTGCTGTACAGAAACCCAGCCTAAAACCCCAAACAGCTAGTAATGCAGGTGTAGAAGCACGGTGGCTAGGAAAAACTCCCTAGAAAGGCAAAACCTAGGAAGAAACCTAGAGAGGAACCAGGCTATGAGGGGTGGCCAGTCCTCTTCTGGCTGTGCCGGGTGGAGATTATAACAGAACCATGCCAAGATGTTCAAAAATGTTCATAAGTGACAAGCATGGTCAAATAATAATCAGGAATAAATCTCAGTTGGCTTTTCATAGCCGATCATTAAGAGTTGAAAACAGCAGGTCTGGGACAGGTAGGGGTTCCATAACCGCAGGCAGAACAGTTGAAACTGGAATAGCAGCAAGGCCAGGCGGACTGGGGACAGCAAGGAGTCACCACGGCCGGTAGTCCCGACGTATGGTCCTAGGGCTCAGGTCTCTCAGTTGGCTTTTCATAGCCGATCATTAAGAGTTGAAAACAGCAGGTCTGGGACAGGTAGGGGTTTCGTAGCCGCAGGCAGAACAGTTGAAACTGGAATAGCAGCAAGGCCAGGCGGACTGGGGACAGCAAGGTGTCATCATGCCCGGTAGTCCTGACGTATGGTCCTAGGGCTCAGGTTCTCAGAGAGAAAGAGAGAACGAGAGAATTAGAGAGAGCATACTTAAATTCACACAGGACACTACATTGTAGAATAATAGTGAAGACATCAAAACTATGAAATAACACATCAATCATGTAGTAACCAAAAAAGTGTTAAACAAATCAAAATATATTTTATATATTCAAATAGCCACCCTTTGCCTTGATGACAGCTTTGCACACTCTTGGCATTCTCTCAACCAGCTTCACCTGGAACGCTTTTCCAACAGTCTTGAAGGAGTTCCCACATATGCTTAGCACTTGTTGGCTGCTTATCCTTCACTCTGCCGTCCGACTCATCCCAAACCTTCTCAATTGGGTTTAGGTCAGGGGATTGTGGAGGCCAGGTCATCTGATGCAGTATTTCCTCACTCTTCTTCTTGGTAAAATAGCCCTTATACAGCCTGGAGGTGTGTTGGTACATTGTCCTGTTGAAAAACAAATGATTGTCCCACTAAGCCCAAACCAGATAGGATGGCGTATCTCTGCAGAATGCTGTGGTAGCCATGCTGGTTAAGTGAGCCTTGAATTCGAAATAAATCACAGACAGTGTGACCAGCAAAGCACCCCCACACCATAACACCTCCTCCTCCATGCTTTACGGTGGGAACTACACACTATTATTCTACAATGTAGAAAATAGTCAAAATAAAGAAAAACCCTTGAATGAGTAGGTCTGTCCAAACTTTTGACTGGTACTGTATATACACACTAGGCCCTACAGGGCTTGCAGTCTAGAATAAGATGTGATTTTTCAAATGTGCACAGTGGGTGTGCGGGTAGGTAAAGATCACATCCACTAAAAAGAACAATGTTACTTCACCTCTTTACCAGCTTCAGTTCCACTGACACTCCGTCTCTCTCTTGGTCTCACACTTTTCTTTCACTCTAGCTCTCTCTCTCTCTTTCTCGCTCTCTCTCTCTCTCTCTCTCTCTCTCTCTCTCTCTCTCTCTCTCACACACACACACACACATACACACACAGACACACACACACACACACACACACACACACAGACCAAATCATATAGCCTGCACATACCAAATAATCTGAAGCAACCCTTCCATGAATAAATCAATGGAAAGTACCTGCTCACTTCTCGCCATAGATTTATATGAAAAATGCTGTTGTGTGGATTTCGGAAACATGTCCTTCCTGTTTGCATTGGCAAATTCATTTGAATTCCTGAGGGGGGAATGTTTCCTGACAGTAAAATGCTTATCTGAACTCAAAGTTCAAGGGATCACAGCCTTGACAAGCAACTTTGGAAAGTGTTGCCTACCCTTATGGCTTCACAGACGTGGACCCAATGTGTGGACCCAATGTGTGGACCCAACGTGTGGACCCAACGTGTGGACCCAATGTGTGGACCCAATGTGCCAAGTTATACAGAACATGATTGGATATACACACAAACAGCCACAAGCTGTTATGGCATGAAATGCCATAGTATAAATCAACACACTATGGCAACGAGGATGCTCTTTTGCGCATTGGAACTTTACAGCACATTGGAACTTTACAGCACAGCTAGAAAGACTGGGCTGCAGAGAACCATTTATATTTGAGTCATTTAGCAGACACTCTTATCCAGAGCGACTTACAGTGCATACATTTTCATATTTTTTTTTAGTGCTGGTCCCCCGTGGGAATCGAACCCACAACCCTGGCGTTGCAAGCGCCATGTTCTACCAACTGAGCTACACTGGAATAACCCACCTCTAAAAAAGGATATACAGGAAATAGTGGACTGTGTTAGAATAACACATAACCAAACATGTTCTTAAATTGTCCCTGTTTTGATGTTTGCATTCTTATCATGTCAACTGTTTCTTTTAAACTTTAACACTGTACTTTCAACCTGACCTCTTTTATCCATCTCTTTGCACCTCTCTCTGTGTGTCAGTGGGCTGCCCGGGAGGGGCTTGTCACAGGCTGGTGTGAAGCTGGTTTTACCCTGGCCAAGTGTCACCAGTGTCAGGCAGAATGTGTAGTGCTCCCCCCTGGTAAGGCTCCAGGACCCAGAGGTAATTATGGAGCCCAGAAACCTCCTTCCACCAGGGATACAAACCCACAGTGGGGCTCAGGCAGACTGCCAGGATTTTAGGAAACCGAAAGAAAGATTAAAGAGGGAGAGAGAGGAGAGAGAGCGAGAGAAGGAGAGAGAAGGAAGGAAAGGAATACCCCCTTTTTTATAATTTGAAAGGTTCCAAGTAACTAGGTGAAGTAAGGACAGCACAGCTATCACTCCCTCCAGGAAATACACGACGCCGCTGTTCTGGTTACTGATGGATTTATTCTTCTACTAAATTCTCCACCGTCATCAATCCACCATCGAACTCGCTGGCTGCACACAACTGAGAGGGAAATGGGTCCACTTAGAAACAAGAATACTTGTAAATAAACACGTCGTTAATTTAACTTATCTTTCAGAGTACTAAACTTTACCGCCGCTACTTTACCGCGATGTCTGGAACTTGTCACCACTAAAAGCGTCCCAACACCACATAGAATGTACAGATAGTTCCTATCACATAAATACAAGCAAAATCAATATTCAAAATACAAGTTGTACAAATAATAATGATATTATGTAAAACCTATTAATAATGACATGAATAACATTAATAATGACATGAATAACATTTATGGCAGTTAAACTCCCACCAAATCACATCCTTTGGGATTTCACCTCACAAAATAACCATAACATTCATTCTGCTTCAAGCAGTAAAACTGTCTTGTATACAGGCCTGTCAAGATAGACTGGCTTTGTAGTGCGTTTTCCCTGGTTATCTAAGGTTGAGTCACTAATTAACAGTTTTACCTTTCTGACTCTTCCATCAGTGCTAGGGTACACCTGTGCTACTCTTGCTAATCTCCATTGATTTCGTGGAGAGCAGTCCTCTTGTAGGATGACAATGTCATTAACCTTCGTATTTCTCTTATCCTTTTGCCATATTTGTCTTTGCTGCAGATTAAGGAGGGACTCCTTCTTCCACCGTGTCCAGAATTCGTTTGCCAAGAACTGTACCTGTCGCCATCTCTTGCGGAGGTAGAGATCCTGACTCACAAACTGACCAGGAGGGGGAGTTGTTATCTTTGACTTCATCATGAGGATATGGTTGGGAGTGAGAGGTTCAAGACTTGTTGGATCATTTAAGTGCTCTGTTGTCAGAGGTCTGCTATTTACGATAGCCATCACTTCATACAGGAAGGTTCTAAGTGATGCACTGTCAAGTCTTTTAGCAGATTGGTCAAGGATCGCTGTTAGAACGCTTCTGATGGTCCTAATTTGTCTCTCCCATACACCTCCCATGTGACTTGATGCTGGGAAGTTCATAACAAACTCACATCCATGTTCCTTTACCTGTTCATGATCCAGGTCCTTCATTGCATTCATGAACTCTCCTTTAGCGCCAACAAAGTTGGTGCCTTGATCACATCTCAACTGTCTTACATTTCCACGTATTGC